TTATTGGACGCCGGCCGCCGCCGTGGGGCGAATTCCGGCGGCGGCGTAAGGCGGAGCCGGCGAGGAATGTCTCTGAGGTTTGAGAGAATGAAGGAGACGGTCGTTGGGGGGGGGGGGGGGCATTACCCGACCATTTTATATTTAATGAACCTATGGTTCCTGGCCGTTAGATCAAGCTACCTCGACGGCCAGGATCAATTATTGACCAAACGGGGTCGTTTTGATTGGGTAACGGATCGGACCGGGTGAGGGACTGGACTGGGTTAATTTGGGCGTGGGTAAGTGGTTTGGGCCAGGCGGAACCTATTGTATATGACCCATTCTGGGTCTCCAATTAAAACCACTCTCTTTTTTTCATTGTTTTTCTTTTATTTCTTTTATTTATTTTGTTTTCATTCTATTTATTTTTTTAATATTTTTCTGACTTTATAAAAATGCAAAAAAAAAAATTAAAATTAAGACCTAATATATTTTCAAAGTTAAACTAATTAATTCCTAAAATTGTTTAAAAATTATTTCGTGGCAAATTCAACAATTAACAATTAAAAATGCAAAAATGGACTATTTTTGTTATTTTCTTTATATTTTGTTCTAAAAACCACTTAACCCCTAATTAATCCTAAAATATGAAATTAAATCCTAAATTCAAATGCCAAATGTATTTTTTTTTATATTTTTCATATGAATTAAAACAAACACCAATAAAATGCAACAATTATCAGAAAATAACACAAAAATTGTAAAACGATAAAGAAATCATTTTGTTTGAATTTTTGGGAATAATTCATATAGGGCAAAAATCACGCGCTCACAGGCTTGGCTTAGGAATAATAGTAGCCCCATTCAAAACATCACGAATCCAAATCCGCACTCATCTTGAGTGACCTTATTTCACGAGACCACGCGCTCAATTCCCACAAACCATCTCATACCCTCCTTATGCGCATATTCGCATCCTCAACTGGTACACCCATTCTGATAATTCCTCCATGAATCTGAAGTCATTTTCTCCCTTTCCTCTTAATTTATACCGCAGACCGAAGATAACACAGAACACTCCAAGCTCCTTATCATAATCTGCTGCAAAAGCTCGATACTCAACCATACTATGGACTCGAAAACCTTAGGCACCACACCTTAACATTTGAACCCACTAGGACCGTTATTGAGAGTCACCCACTTTGACTTGGTCCCGAATATAATCAACTGCAAGGCTCCGCTAGCGCATGACCACCCTCTTAAAGAAGCACCCGGCCGAATCACCTTCCTTGCAACTCACTTCTACGCGAAGCATAATTCCTGAGTCTTCCCAAAGCATGAACATGAATCGATGGTGCCAATTATAGAACACATTCTTCAATTCCTTCGCTCAAATTACCACTGATGTTCTCTTTCCTTAGTCGTAGTAACCCATCAATTTGCCGATAACTAGAAATCTCACAAAAAGGCGACCAGGCAATCCAACCGTAGGCGGTGGGACTCTCCCACTTAGCTTGAAGCCACTATTACACAACTTTGGAACCCACCAAGGTTCTTTATCTCTTATTGACATGATCTTGCCAATGAAACCGCCAGATTCCTCGAAATCCTTCCGTTAGCATTTCCAGAACACTCTGAATCTCTAATAACATTCACATATTAGACCTCTTACCAGATAGCCAGTAAAATCCTTCGCAGGAGCTTCACCAACCACGCGATTGCTGACCTGCTCATAGGAGATAACCCACCTGAGCCTGTGCTCATTCACCAGCTGCACAAGTCCATTCACTCCTCATGGACATCAACTAAATGTGCGACAATATCTTCCAATTCAAAGTCATGTTGTATCCTTCTTCATATCAAGCAACTCCTTTCCGTCATATCAAATCTCCTGCCGTTATGCTAGCCAATATTTCAAATTAATCTTGTAGACCTAGTCACTGTCCACCATGAATCCCAAATCACTCTAAACTCCTCCCAAGGCACATAGTCATCCTACCACAGAACCCTTGTGCTGCTCTGCCACTCTCCCACTTTGGTCAAACTCACTCCTTTAAGCAACTACTCGACTCTTGTTTCCCACACTTGGCCTTCTAGGAGTTTAATCACCACAAGACACTTCCCACATGCCCTTCCTCATCCTTCGCTGCCCAGCCAAATACGCAGGAGGAAACATCTCGCACCACATCTGCAGTACCATTTCAATTCCTCAGTTCCTGATTTATAATAAGCGCTTCGCATCGCATAAGATTGAGTAGGAAGGAAACAAGGGCATAAGACTCAAAGAAATCAAACCGCACGATGAGGAATCAAGAAGGGGAGTGCTCCTAACAGCCATGTAGCCTCTTGAAGATAAGTACAGACGTCTCCGTACCGATCCGCAAGACTCTCTAGACTTGATCATGACTCGTGAGACCTAAGGGAACCTAGTGCTCTGATACCATATTTTCACGACCCAAAATCCACTAAGGGTCGTGATGGCGGCGGACACCACTGTCATGCAAGCCAACACTATATATCTAGAAATTTCTCATTTTAGATATTTCTTAAATCACTTCTTTTATACATTTAAACAATTAATAATAAGTTCCGTTGAATAAATAATGATGTCTTTACAAAACTACTGAGCAATCCCGAAATCATCCCAGAACCCGGTGTCACAAGTGCATGAGCAATTACTAGGAAATTCAATAAAGTACAATAGCTGTCCGGAATACAAACTTGGACAGAAAGTAAATATAATACACTGAAAGGGACTCTGCTGGCTGCGGGTCGTCTCGAGGGATGCAGCTCACCTAAGTCTCTGTATCATCCGTACTGCTACCGCCATTAGGCCACTAGAGGTACATGTGCCTGTGCAACAAAAATGCACAGCAAGTGTAGCATGAGTACAAAAACAACGTGTACTTAGTAAGTATCCCTCCTAACCTCGAAGAAGTAGAGACGAGAGGTCGACTTCGACACACTACTAGAAAATGGCAGATTTCCGACGGCCAAAACGGTCGGAATTCGGTCGGAAATCATGTATTTCCGACTACTTTCCGACCGAATTTGGTCGGTCGGAAAAACGATGGTCGGAAAACAATTTCCGACCGAATCCGTCGGCGATTTCCGACTAAAGTGGTCGCAAATTTCGAAATGGTCAGACTACCAAATAATTCAATTTTCCGACTAAAGTGGTCGGAATTTACCGACTGAATCAGTCGTAATAATACAAGAAAATTACATAATTTATAACTAAATTTTATTTATTTTCCGACGGAATCCGTCGAAAACTGTTGAAAATTAATTTTTTTTTTAAATTTCCGACCGAAGCAGTCGGAAACTATTAATTAAAAATTATATTTTATTTAATTTTCGACGGAATCCGTCGAAACCTTCTGAATATTAATTTTTTTAAAAAACATTTCCGACCGAATCAGTTGAAAATATGACAATTTATTGTTAAATCTGGGTAGCTTTCCGACTGTTTCAGTCGGAATTTTGTACTAAACTGGGCAGAATTCTGCCCAATTTCGAGCTACACCACCTGTCAAACTATCACAAACAAAAAAATACCAACCAACAATCTAAACCAACGATACATTAATACAATAATACGAACCAACAATACATTAACACTATCTAAATTAACAATTTCTAAACCAACAATGTCAACCATTAAACCAACAATACCAACATTTAAACCTAACAATTTTGGGCATACAAACATCCAAATAGCAGCCCATGTTCAAGTTTAAAAGCAATACATAAAGTTGTCTCTCACAATCAAGTTTACCAATCAACCAAAACATCACAACTAAACTACTACACATCAGATTCAGTTTGTTCATCTTCATCATCAGATAAATCACGCCCATGTTTACGCATGAATTTCTGCATCTTAACAAGCATTCCGTTTTGGGAGTCCAATTGTTGGTTCAATCCACAAATTTCCTTTTTCAAATCTTCCATCTGGTCTTGATTTTGAGGAGAAGAATTGTCTAAGAGTGGGTTTGGATGACCTGTAGGTCGATGTACTCCTAGTCCATAGACTCTGCCTTTGTTTGCTCCACCCGCTGCCTCTGTCCACAATGCAGCCATATCATCAGGTGTTGGTTGAGTTGAAGGAGCCTGAGTTTGTTGCCATTCTTCCAACCTTTTATGATAATCTTCCTGAAATGAAAAACATAACTATTAAGTAAACAAACTAATATTAATAAACTATAAATAATTATGAAGTTAGAATTTTACATATGTGTCTGACGCACGCGTCTCCACCCAGTGTTCTCTTGTACCATCCTTTTTCTTTTTCTTATGCAACTCCTCGAAGACCTCAGCGTAAGTCATATCTCGTCCTCTTTCCTTTTCCTTCATAAGAAAAAGTATGAGTTAGACTTTACAAACGTAAAATTCTATATGTAAAACTAAAAAAAAATTTATAAATAATTACCATTCTTAGTTTATGGGCCTCAAAAGTAATCGAACCTCCTGTGTGCAACGAGCCACCTTTTTTAGAGGCACGGTTTGCTTTGCTTGTTCACTTTTTGCCTTCCATTCTGGGGTATTCCATTTCTCAAGAAGTTTATCCCAAACATCTTCTCTTAACCATTCCGACATTTGACCGACATTCCGAGCAGCACACATAGTATCTTTAATCCTTATACCAGCTTTCTTCTCGAAAATAATATTTATTGCATTTTGATGCTGAGGATGCCATGTACACAATGTCTGCAATATAAAAAAGTAACATTAGATGAAGACGATAATTATTAATAAATATAATTAATTTTTACCCTAAATTGATTCCACATTTGCTCTCTGATGCTGTACGGTATCTTTTTCCAAGAAGTCCACGGCTCATGATAAAATGGCTTCATAGAATTTGTAACCATACGTGTACCTTGAAAAGATGGCAAAAACCTGCATTAAAGTTAACATATATATAATTAATAAACATCTTTTAATTGTAAATAAATACTCTTTAATGTTAACATATCTAAATGTACATTCAAAACATAAAAATTTGTATAAGAACCTTCTTACCCATTCTTGTGGGGGACGATTATCAATCGATTATAACTGTCAAATTGTACATCCCCTCCAAGATTCTGCCTGCGTCTACGAGATGGTGCAGAAGCAGCACTAGATGTAGCTGGGCGAGAGCCTCCAATATCCAACCTAGATATGCTGGGAATGGATGATGATGATGGACTGGAAGATGATGGAGCAACAAAAGACGCACCATCATGCTGACTACCATGAAAGCTCGGGGGTGCAACAGCTGGTGAGCCAGTATGCTGACTACCATGAAAGCTCGGGAGTGCATTAGCTGGTGAGCCAGTATGCTGACTACCATGAAAGCCCGGGGGTGCAGCAGCTGGTGAGTCAGTATGCTGACTACCATAAAAGACCGAGGGTGCAATAGCTGGTGAGCCACCATGTTGACTACCATGAAAGCCCGGTGAAGATAATGGTATAGAGATGTGGTACAAGTTAAACAATGTTACTTTGACTTGCCTTTAGCAGCATAGAATAATACTGAACTGAATTATTAGATGGAGGGGGGATAGTGAACATGGTAGATGGCAATGAAGTCGACTGAGGAGGATGAGGAAGAGGATGACTCATATTTGGCATAGTTGAGGAAGTTGGAACAGATTGTTTTTTCTTCTTAGGTTTCATGTTTCCCTTCCCCTTAGATGCCATATCTGTAATATAATCATAATAAACTACAAAATTGTTACATCTCAATGATGAGTAGCCACACATTATTGCATACAGAAAAAACTAAATAGGAGAAAATTCATATTTTCACAACTTCATGATATTCTTGGGAGATCATTGATGCAGGGGACTTCAGGAGAATAGGAGAATACTTTATAGTAGCAAATTGTAAAAATGACTTCTATCACTTATGACGAAGTGCAAATCATTTTCTTTTCACATATAACTCTTGATCCATAACTTGCTTCAACCAATACTTATACGTACATTCTAGTAAATACTTAATACTTAAAAAGGGAATATCACGAAAAGTCTATCCTATAGGCTATATGTGGTATGATTACTGCCTATAAAATTGCATGTAGTTAAAGAGAAGTTTGAATTCATGCATAGAGTCAATAATATAATAAAGTTGCAATGCATTAACTATTAAATCAATACAACTTTGAGAAGATTTCCAGCAAAGACACCGCATTCATGCTTGCATACTATCAGAACAGAAACAACTTATGTTGTTGGCTAAAGGAAAAGAACGTTAGCAAAACCACTCCTGCTACTTTATAACTAAAGGTAAGATAGTATCCTTCTAAAGAACAAGTTGGGAGGGAACTAAAATTAAGTACCTGGAACTGCTACCCTTGAACTGGTGGACATGGGAATCAACTTGCTTACAACATCTCCCACTTGTTGACTAAGCAATGCTTACCTGTAAGTACAAATGTAAAAAATTTCACAGTTAGTCAGAAATTAATTACTCATACACTACTTCATCAAGTAAGAATATCAAATAAAACGGGATAAACTTCAATACTAATTACACAGCAACAAAATCAGTAACCAAAGGCGCTAATTCAGAAACAGAATTTTAACTTACCAAATTCTCAGCACCAGGAAGGTTTCCGTTTTTGGAAAGATTGACAGCAAGCTCAAGATTATTCAACTGCAACAAAATTTATACAAAAATTTATGTCTTTCATGGATTTTACCAAATTTTACAGTACTGAAAATGCATCTAAGCTGCTGCATGGATACGCAAGTTCATGAAAAGGGGGAAACAAAAGAACAGGAAAAGTCATAAAGAATTGAAATTCGTATGCACCTTTTTTACACAAGGAAGGAAAAGGAAAGATGGGGTTGTTAAAAACTAGCAAGATCTGCTGAAGCAAACCGACCATCAGGCTTTTTGGCCAACAAAATTTTTTCATTCTTTTAAAGTATTTTGCTGCACATTACTGCTTTCAAGATTCAATGTACGTAAGCAAATACTAATATGTGACTGAAGGAAGAATGGGAACAACAACATATGAAGCCATAAAGAATACTGATAATCTTGTATGATCACCGACATTTTGGAACTGGTAATAGAAATTAAATTGTTCCATATGAGATTAAGATAGTTGTTTCGAATCCACATGATGTTCATTGGTTCCCTCAGATCTTAAGATGAACGATAGATAAGCCATTGAATCCCCCTATATAATTCTAGTAATTTTATTTACTTCCTCCCCTCTATTCCAATTGAAAGTGTTGATAAGTGTATAAGGAATATTTGCTTATCCCTCCACTGTTACATCCTAACCAGAGGAAATAGCACTATGTTTCCTCTTTTATATCCACTTTCTATCCCTTCTTGTTGGCATCCAAGGAGAAATACGTTCAGTTAACAAGAACATTCATGTAGGACCTTTCAATGTACTATATGCAAAATTGCAAATAATTAAATGCAAAGAAATTTGTTAGGCATCTGGAGAAGAAAGGAGCATGTCAACAACTATTCAAGTTATCACCCCCCTTTTTGGTTTAGTTGAAGTGTAGTGTACCATTTTCCATAGCAAATGTTATGTCAAAGTAATCCAATATATGCAGCATCAGAATCAAGCAGATTAAATTCCTATGCCACTTGCATAGCGATTTACCTTCCGCGGGAAAAGAATATGAATGTTCGATCAATATAGACCTGTATGTTCCAATATGTGTAATAAGTCCAGATTCTATACTCCATTGTGCTTCAGTTTTTTCAGAAATAAAACAAATGTTGCCTGCAAAGCTCTTTTGTGACCAAAATACTCACCCCTAATGTGAAGATCTTATTTTCTTTTAACACCACTTATAAGTTAGGAAGGTCAAATAATATTGACATTATATATAGACCAAATAATATTCGCATTAGGCGTCATCAAATTTCCTAGACAGAGATGAATACAAAGACCTTAGGAAGGGCAGAAACTCTTGCAGGACAAGTAGAAGTGACAACAAAAAGACTTGATCCTATCACTTGCAACGAATAAATTGTTTGATTTGTTATAATATCGGGTATGTATAAGTATTTCTTTTGAGTCACCATGCCTTAAACATTCTGTTGTTAAGCTGATGAGAAGAAAAAGCAACTGTAATTACGAAAAATAGAGAGAGAATTGAGAGCTCATCTCACTTTTCAGAAATTACTGCTTCTGAAAATATTCAGGTTTAAGATTTTCAGAAGTAAACCTGAATATTTTCAGAAGCAGGAAAGGATCTTCAGATCATAAAAATTTGGAGGCAGCAGCAGAGTTTAAGATTTCTAACTCTTTTGACGCCTTGGTTTGTGCACATGAACATGGTAAACAAGATCTGCAGCATAAGGAGCTAAATGCAAATTTAAAAAATATGCAACAGAGGTCTCTAGAAACTCATTCAAAATATATATGAAGCTAGAAACTCAATCAAAATATTTGACAGCTCATACAAAAAATCTTAGAAATAAAGATAAGGGAATTTATCTAACAAAATACGTTATACTAAAGGATAGTACTTGACCTAAATTTAGAACAATCAGATTTTGCATAAATTGAGGTAAGGGAAAGTAGTAGTAATTCTTATTCTGAAGTTAATGAAGTAAACACAAATGAAGATATTAAAGACCATAAATTTGCAGCTCCAGAATACAGACACCTCTATCTTCGTCCTCATTTGTAACCATCTAAGAATAACAAATTAATCTTCATCTCTATCTTCATAGTAATCATCTAAGTCTTCATCATCGCCTGTTTCACTTTCATCTTGTAATTCTTCCTCATCACTTGTTTCATGTTCTGCACCTCTATCTTCGTCCTCATTTGTAGCAAGGACAGAAGGATCAAATTCTTCATAAATCCCTTCATTATGCTGCAATTCATCTGCTAATTCATCATCCACTATTGATTCAACATTTGAAATGTCATTCTGGTACGCCACATCTAATGCATCTTCGAATACCACTCTACCTACGGGCTTTGTTTTCAAAACTACCCGCCATGCAGACTTATTCTTGCTCAAAGGATAAGGAGCATAATACACTTGTTTCACCTTTTGTGCAATGATAAAGGGATCATAATGTCTATATTGCCCCGTGTGTTTAATTTCAACTATGTTGTATTGAGCGTGCACCTTTGTACCTCTATTCGGTGTTGGATCATACCATTTACATCGAAAGAGTACCAACTTTTTCTTCGGCCAACCTACAACATATTCCAATTCCAAAATCTCTTGAAGCACACCATAATAATCAACATCTCCCTCACCTTTCACCCACACCCCACTATTGTTGGTTTTCTTTCCATTAGACCATTCTTCTGTATGAAACTTGTACCCATTGACCACGTATTTAGACATCATTCTTACTCTAGGGTCAGGTCCCCAAGCTATATCATGTAAAAATGGGTCTTTAATGCCATTAGCTGGATCATGAACCTATATATATATATATATATATTATATATATATATAAAATTAAATATAATTTAGAATTTTACACAAATATATATATAATTAATTACATATAATAAGAATTATGTTAAATAATAAGTAATACTTACAAATTCTTTAAACCACTCTGAAAACTTGGGATAAACAACATCTTGCCCATATGTACCCACAAAGTAACTGCCATTATAATATTTATTAGTTAAATCAGTGGTCTATTTAATATAAAAGTCCGTAATTATATACGAATATATACTTACCTATAATAAGGTTGGACCTCAGGGCAATTTAACAATACATGTGTTGTAGCTGACTTTAGCTCCATCTCAGACAACCTTCGCTTTGGACTATTTTTTGGACCTCCTTTACCTGGTTGATTAAAAATGGAAATGGGTGGTGCCAAAGGATCGATTTCGCCTCCATCGTCATGCCGATTCGGTCTATTTCTCAAACATGACACATCATGTTCAAAATAGTATGAACAGAAATAAGATGTTTCTTTAGCCACATATGCCTATCGAACCTTCAATTCTTGATCTATTTTTTATGGTCCGTTTACATTTGCCAATAGTCCTGCATAGTGTTATTTTTAGACAAAACAATCTTTAAATCAAATATAAAAGGTAAATGATTAAATTTCATTACCTCTCGAAGGGATACATCCATCTATATTGAACTGGCCCTCCAAGCTATGCCTCTTGTGCAAGGTGAATTGGAAGATGTTCCATTACATCAAAAAAACTAAGAGGGAAAATTTTTGCCAGCTTGTTTAATGTTAAGATAATGTTACTCTCCATATAAATTAAGTTATCCACCCTCAATGTGCTAGAACACAAATCCTTGAAAAAACAACTTTGTAATCGGTTTCCATATTCGATCAGGCAATGCATTGAACGCAATAAGCATCAATGTTTCCATGAAAATATGACAATCGTGGCTTTTCATTGACGCCAACTTCCCTTCTTTCATGTCAACATACCTGGATAAATTTGATGCGTACCCATCAGGATCCTCAAATTGTTAACCCAACTACAAATCTCTCTTCTCTCATCCAAGGTGAACGTGTAACTAGCTTTGGGCTTCTGTATCTTGTTGTTAAAGTATGTCAGATACAACTCACTTCGCCTACAATATTCCTTTAAGTCCATCCTGGCCTTCAAGTTATCTTTGGTCTTGTTAGTAACATCCATAATAGTGTTAAACAAGTTGTCAAAAAAATTCTTCTCGATATGCATGACGTCCAGATTATGCCGAAGAAGATT